CAGCAGGTGCAGAAGTGGGTGTGCATAGGGCTGAAATTGGGAAGGCGAAGGAAAGGAAGAGGTGCTAAGTCCAGGAGCACAAGTGATAACTGTGTGCTGAACAGCTTGCATCTGGGAGAGAGAGAGAGTGAAGACCAAAGGGGGACAGAAGCAGGGAGAGCTGGAGTGACTTGGTCACAGAGTCACTGAGAGCCAGGAGGCGAACGGCTGCCCAAGCTGAAGCAGTCTGCCAGATCCCCAAGCACTGGGGAAAACCATCTCGGACAGTAGGTGAGACCCTTCGTGTCTCTAAGAGACCTGGTTTTACAGAGGGACTTGTTCTTGAGCCCTTGAGGACGTGCCAGCCTTTATCCTGGGGTTTACCTCCCTGAAGCCCGTTTCCTCATTGTGTGTGATCTCTCAGCTGGCCCAGTGTCAGGACTTGGAAGATTTTCGCCATGGCACCAATTGTGGGGGACTGGCATGGGGTTGGGGGGGCTGTACTTGGCCGACAGGAGCCCTAGACATCTGCCTAGTGCTCCATCTATTGCCCAGGCTGTCTGGCTCAGCCCTGGAGCTGGAGGAAGGCAAGAGCTGGCACCTGTAGCCAGTTGCAGCCGTAATTCACACCGGGGAGCGGGCAGCTGCCTGTATGCTGAATGCCCACTGGGTGTCAAGACAAGACCACAGGAAACTGTTGCGTTGCTTTGAGAAGCTGGAAAGCCTGCAAACGGAGGAAGTTGCAGCTGCCTTTTAAGATGAAGTCACTCTTTGCTTGTGTTTTTGTTCATTCCCCCTCCTTCCTTCCCCCACTCTCCCCCAGCGAGCAAGTGATGGAGCATGGCCCGGAGCCAGGCATCCAGCTCTCACGCCCCCTTCTCCTGCCCTCCCCGCACGAACGTCTGCAGAGGGATAGCACTGCAGCAGTGGCGAGAGGAGGAGGACCTCGGTCAGCGGGGGTGGAGGAGCTCACAGCCCAGTGTCTGCAGAGGGACGTCTTCCGTGAAGATGCCATCCAAGAAGATGATGAGGTCTGAATGCTCGATAGATGGATGCTGGGCACGTTCCTATGGCCACAAACTGACACACACACCTCCCCTGTTCCTAAGACATGCTGTTGGTGATCCAAAATGCTTCCAGGGTAATTGCCAGCTTCCCAGTGTCGTTCACTAGGAAATGGGGACCATGTCTGTGCTGAGACAGAAACTAGCACTCGGGAGAGCCTGGCTGCGCAGGGCTGGAGGGGCTGCAGGGCTCCCTGTGCAGGTGGGGGTTCCTGCTTCCAGCTTCTGCAAAAACCGTCATTGAAAGTGGACCAGAACTGTGTTTCAGAGACACTGGAGCCTTCCTGTGGCCTAGCTGACCCCGCCGATGCTGCGATCACTGGTGTGAGCCCAGCTCAGGAAGGGGAGGTGGAAGTGTGGCAGTTGGAGCAGAGCCCAGCCTTCCTTCCGTCAGTTTGAGCTGCTGCAGGAGAAGATGCAGACGTCTGTCCTGCGTTGCTGGACCAAAACAGCAGGAAAGTGCCTTTTAGGCTCCTGTAACTGCATCGGTCTTTCAATACAAGACCTGGACGGTTTGAGACAACTTCCTAGCCATACTGCCAGGCGGATGGTCAGGCACAGCTGGCAAGCGGTCAGCAGGGCTGCCTGGGTTAGATGCATGGCAGTTGGATATGGGTGATGGGACCACACTCCCTCACCAAACTAGGTAAGGGACATGGGGACTCCAGAAGAGCTTTTGTGATCCTTCCTGATGCAAAGAACACTCCTTGTTTTGAGTGCTGTCCAGCAGTACATGGACACGTAAAGCTGCTTGTTGCTCTGCAGAAAGGGCAATTTGCTGCTATGTGGCTAAACTGCCCAAGGCTGCATTTAAATCGGACTTATAAAGGTGGTAGTTAGGGCTTAGTACAAAGCTAAAATTGCTGCTGCTTGTCTCGTGCTGGAAGTAGACCCATGCCCAGAGCCTGACACACCTTGGGGGTGCAGCCAGCAAGCTGGGGAGCGAATTGAGGTGGTGAACACTTGGGCAGAGACTAGGGCTGGTGCTGGGTACCCCGCAGCACCCGGGGGATGGTTGGCTGAAGGCAGCATGATGGCTTGTTTTGAGCTCATGCACCAAGCCCGCCTTGGAGTCCTGTTCTCCAGCA